TGTTCATTTGCTAATGGGGCATGACTCAAAGTGGAAAGAAACAGCTACAAACATTCATTAATAATTAGAATGTGGAATGTACAAAGTGTACAATCTAGGAAAATTGGAAGTTGTCAAAATGAAATGGAACGCATAAAATCAATATCAGACAATCGTGGTCTACTATGCTAAGAATGACGAATTGATGAAGAAAGGCATCACATTCATTGTCAAAAAGAACATTTCAAGATCTATCCTGAAGTGTACAGTGCTGTCAGTGATAGGATATTATCCATACACCTACAAAGACCAGTTAATGTTACAGTTAATGTCAACTTTATGCACCAACCACTAAAGCCAAAGATGAAGAAGTTGAAGATTTCTACCAGCTTCTGCAGCTTGAAACTGACCAAACATGCAATCAAGATGTACTGATAATTACTAGTGATTGGAATGCAAAAGTTGGAAGCCAAGAAGAAACATTGGTAGTTGGAAAATATGGCCTTGGTGAAAGAAAGGATGTCAGAGATCATGATAGAATTTTGTAAGACCAACAACTTTTTCATTGCAAATACCTTTTTCAACAACAAAAATGGCATCTATACACATGAACCTCACCAGATGTAATACACAGGAATCCAATCGACTACATCTGTGGAAGGAGGCAGTGGAGAAGCTCACTATCAGTCAGAGCAAGGCTAGGAGCTGACTGGAACAGTTATTTGCTCATATGCAAGTTCAAGGTGAAGCTGAAGAAAATTAAAACAAGTCCACGAGAGCCAAAGTACAAACTTGATTATATCCCACCTGAATTTAGAGACCATCTGAAGAATAGATTGTATGCATTGAAGACCAGTGACCAAAGAACAGACAAGTTGTGGGATGACATCAAGAACATCATACATGAAAAAAAGCAGAAGATCATTAAAAAGACAAGAAAGAAAGAAAAGACCAAAGTGGATGTCAGAAGAAACTCTAAAACTTGCTCTTGAATGGAGAGTAGCTAAAGTGAATGGAAGAAATGATGAAATAAAAGAGCTGAACAGAAGATTTGAAAAGGCAATTTGAGAAGACATAGTAAAGTATTATAATAAAATGTGTAAAGACCTGGAGTTAGAAAACAAAAAGGAAGAACACACTTGGCATTTCTCAAGCTGAAAGAACTGAAAAAAAAATTCAAGCCTCAAGTTACAATATTGAAGGATTCTGTGAGCAAAATATTAACGATACAGGAAACATGCAAAGAAAAGGGAAGAAATACACAGACACTGTACCGGAAAACAATTGGTAGATACTCAGCCATTTCAAGGTATAGCATATGATCAAGAACCAATGGCATTGAAGTAAGAAGTCCAGTCTGCACTGAACAAACTGGTGAAAAACACGTCTCCAGGAATTGATGAGATTCCCATTGAGATATTTCAACAGATAGAAGCACCGTTGGAGGCACTTACTCATTTATGCCAAGAGATTTGGAAGACAGGTACCTGACCAGCTAACTCAAAGAGATCCATATTTGTGCCCATTCCAAAGAAAGGTGCTCCAGCAGAATGTGGAAATTATCAAACAATGTCATTACTATGACACGCAAGTAAAATTTTGCTGAAGATAATTCAAAAATAATAGGGAAATATCAGAAATTCAAGCTTGATTCAGAAAAGGCATGGAAAACGAGAGTTATCATTACTTATGTCAGATCGCTTTCAGCCACGAATACGAGAAAGATATTTACCTGGGTTTTATTGACTATGCAAAGGCATTTGGCTGTGTGTATTATAACAAGTTATGGATAACACTGCGAAGAGTGGAATTCCAGAACACTTAATTGTGTTCATGAGGAACCTGTACATAGACCAAGAGACAGTCATTCAAACTGAACAAGGGGACAGATACTGCATGGTTTAAAATCTGGAAAGGTCTGTTAGGGCTGTGTTATTGTCATTGTTATGTACCGTTGAGTCGGACCCGACTCATAACAACCCCTCCTTGGGTTTCCGAGGTGGTATCACTACTGAAGTGGATTGCCCAACCTTCCTTCTGAGGAATGGCTGGCGGGTTTGAACCACCAGCCTTCTGGTTAGCAGTCAAGTGCCTTAGGTACTACACTACCAGAGCTCCATGTCAGGGCCATATCCTGAGCAAATATAATCCAAGCAGCAGAACTGTATGAAGAATGTGGCATCAGGACTGGATGGAGGCTCATTAACAACCTGGGATATGCAAATGACACAGCCTTGCTTGCTGAAAGTGAATAAGACCTGAGGCACTGAGTAAGACTACAGCCTCAGTATGGATTGCACCTCAACATCAAGAAAACAAAAGTCCTCACAACTGGACCAATAAGCAACATCATGATAAAGGGAGGAAAGATTGAAGTTGTCAAGGACTTCACTTTACTTGCATCCACAATCAATGCCCATGAAAGCAGCAGTCAGGAAATCAAATGACATACTGCACTGGGCAAATCTGCTGCAAAAGACCTTTTCAAAATGTTAAAGAGCAGAGATGTCTCTTTGAAGACTAAAGTGCACCTGCCCCAAGCCATGGTATTTTCAGTAGCCTCGTATGCATGTGAAAGCTGGACAGTGGATAAGGAAGATAGAATTGATGCATTTGAATTGTGGTGTTGGCAAATCATACTGAAAATATCATCAATTGCCAGAAGAACAAACAAACCTGTCTTGGAAGAAGTACAGCCAGAATGCCCCTTAGAAGCAAGAATGGCCAGACTTCAGCTCATACACTTTGGTCATGACTTTTTTGATCATATTATCAGAAGGGATGGGTCCCTGGAGAAGGACGTCGTGCTTGGTAAAATAGAGGGTCAGTGGAGAAGGCCCTTAATGGGATGGATTGACAGAGTGGCTGCAAGGGTGCTGTCAGACACAGCAGTGATGATGAGCATGGCACAGGGCCAGAGTTGTGTTCTATACATAGGGTCACTTGAGTCAGAATTGATTGGCTGGCACCTGATAGCAACAAGAACCCTAAGACTTTCTCATACTTTCTTTTCCCCAAAACTTACAGTTTTATATTTTACATTTACTCCTCTGATCCATTTTGAGTTATTTTTTTATATAATGTGTGTTGACTTGTGGTGTGGGGGGAGTCTCTGGAACTCCATTTGATCTAACACTGTTGAAAGGTGATTATCTTTCCTCTATTGAGTTGTTCAGTTCAGTGTTATCATGTGAGTCTACTTCTGAGTTCTGTGTTCTTTTCCATTGATCTATCTATGTGTCTATCCTTCCACCAAAAACCAAAACCAAACTCACTGCCGTCAAGTTGGATCTGACTCATAGCAACCCCTCCTTGGGTTTCCAAGGCAGTATCACTACGGAAGTAGATTGCCCAGTCTTCCGAGGAGTGGCTGGTGGGTTTGAACCACCACCCTTCTGGTTAGCAGTCAGATGCCTTACACACCACTCCACCAGAGCGCCTATTCTTTCACCAGTATCCCACAATCTTAATTACTGAAGCTATATAATAAGACTTGAAATTCCTCCCACTTTATTATTTTTCAAAATTGTTTTAGCTATTCTAGTTCCTTTGCCTTTACCTATAAGTTTTAGAATAATCTTGTCTATATCTACAAAAAAAAAATTAATGGAATTTGTGTTAAATCTGTATGTCAGGTGGAGGAAAACTTTACTTTTCCAGTCCTTAAATACAGTGTGTCCATTTATTTGGGTCTTCTTTTATTTGTTTCATCAGTGTTTTGTAGCATCTAGCATACAAGTCTTATGCAGGTTTTGTTAGATTTACACCTAAATATTTCTGTTTTCTTGTTGTTGTTGTTGTTGTTTGCCATCGAGTTGGCCCCGACTCTCAGCGACCCCTCCTTGGGTTTCCGAGGCAGTATCACTACGGAAGTAGATTATAAATTATATTATATGGCTTTAATTTCACTGAACATGTTTATTGCTGTTTATTCACTGAACATGTTTATTGATTTTTTTTTTTGTAAATTCTTCGGGATTTTCTGTGTAGATGATCATGTCATCTGAAAATAGGGGCAGTATTCTTTTTTCTCATCTGTATGGCTTTATTTCCTTTTCTTGCCTTACTGCACTAGCTGAAACTTCCAGCCATGTATTAAATACTAAGCACGGACAGCCTTGCTTTATCTGCAGTCTAAGAAGGAAAGCATTCCGTCTTTTGCTGTTAAGCACAATGTTACATATAATGTTGGTCTTTGTGTGCTGGGCTTTAATAAATGCTCTTTGATTGTGGAAATGGAAATCTACCGATTGGATGAGTCCAGGCTCTGTCAGGCAGCTCTGCTGCTATAGGTAGATCCAGACTCAAGGTTTCCTAGGGGGACAGGGACATGTATGGGGTGAAGATGCAGAATTTGAACATTCAGATATAACTTTTGACTCCTCCAACTTGTAGCTAGATGGCCTGAAGCAAATTACTTACACTTCTCCAAGCCCATTTCCTCACCACCAAAGAGAAGGGAGAGACCAGCCTGCTTTCTCTCTCAATTAGTGAGTTATGCGAGTTACGATGTCCGCACAGCAGGAGCTGGGAAGTGGCCCCTAGGAACTCAGTAAGGTCTTCACAGTGCCCTGCTCTAAACCCACCAGCACCTTGGGTTGTCCGTCTCTATGGATGATTTGACAGTCCCTGTTGCATTGTTAGAACTTCCACTTGGGGTCTTAAACTGAAAAGCTCAATGAGCCAGGAGTATTTGCCGTCTCAGGGACTCAGTGACTGGAGGCAGACTGCTTGCTGTTCGGGTTTGTTAGGATCCGACTTCTCCACTTACATCTGGTAAGGCTGGGCCAATCACGTAAACTCCAAGCCTGAGTGTAAACTGGGGGTAATGACAGAACTGCTTCAGAGGGCTGTGGAGAAGGCTAACTGAGCTAACTTGTGTGACCTTTACTTAGTAAAGTGCCTGATGAGTAATACTGTTAGCTCCTATCATTGCTGTTGGTGACTATGAAGGACACATACTTCCTTGTGAATTATCTTTCTTAAAAACAAAATTGTTTGCTTTGCAGATTTTGTAAAAAATGGATTTGGCCAACCACGGACTTATTCTTCTGCAACAGTTAAACGCTCAGCGCGAGTTTGGTTTCCTGTGTGACTGCACGGTTGCGATCGGCGATGTGTACTTCAAGGCACACAAATCAGTCCTTGCTTCATTCTCCAATTACTTTAAGATGTTGTTTGTCCATCAGACCAGGTAACTAACGTGGTTGATAATAACTGAATGACTGTAGACTTAACCTCATGCCCCTCTTTCCCTCCAGACCGTGGGTCGCTACCACTGCCTAGACCCCTAGTCCCCCAGTCCCTTGTGACCTCACTTGGCCCCTTTACCCATCTTGGTTACGCCTGCTTCCAGTGCCACTTGAGAATCACTGAACTTTCCAGCCCCACGCAGCCCGCTGCCCCACTCCTCCATGGGCACTGGCTGCTTGTCACCTGCATCGACAGGACAGTTGGGGAGGGCGCTGTTACCAAGTCAGCTCTTCCACCACCTCGGCGGACTGTCTTTTACCGACCTTCTGTGGGCTCCTCCCTTTCGGAGCCCTTTCTCCGCTCCTGCAGCCCCAGCCCTGTAAGTACCCTCTTTATTTTCAGTATTTAACCTTGTTTCCTACTCTCATGTTCTCAGTGAGGTCATGCATTCTGCCAGTTGCCCCTTTTCTATCTGAAAATGTCCCTCTCTCTCTGCCGGGTTTTTCCTTCTCCTCGCCCCATCTTAAAGGGCCTCTCGTGTCGAAGGACATGATGTTCTGCCTTTCTCCTTCATGCTTCAGGATCCCACCCCAATTTTTGTTCTGGACTTTGTTTTATCTGGTGTCCACCTGCCCCTCAGTCTGGAAGGACCCGGACTTACCTGGCAGGGCTGTCTCCTCTGGTCATGCTCTGTTCCTCCTTCTTGTGCTGCTGAAGATCTCAAGAGGGTCCTCTGTCACTGCGTGTGCTTTCTCATTCCACTCTGTCCCTTTCTGTGTGCAGTGTGGTTTCTACCCATCACTCTACTGAAATCATTCTCCCCAAGGTCACCTCTTCCTCAAAGCCACTGCCTTTCTTCATCTTGTCATCTTTGTCCTCAGCAGCATTTGCTCCTGTTCACGTGTCCTCCTTCTTAGGAAACTGTGTCCTGCATTGCTGTCACTCTGCACGCCCCTGTACATAAGCCTTCTGCGCAATTTGGTCTCGAACTCTTTCTTCCACGTGCACTCACCCACCTGGACTTCCTCCCCCTCCTGCACCCCACTCTCACCTCCGTTGGTCTCTGCTCCCAGGGCCCCAGCTGCCTGCTTCCTCGGTGTTTAGAATTGAATGTCCCCCTTTCATCTCAGTGAGTATGACTAAAACAGAGGCAGTCTCTTCCCCAGAACTCCTCTGAACTTCCCTATTATTTTATCTTCAAGTGACATATCCTTCCAATTTCTCTGTAAACATTTGATTTCTTGCTTGTCTTGTCAGTAATGTTTTCATAATGGTCTCTTCTTTCCCCTTCTCACTTCCATTTCCTAATCATTCATTCTCACATTACTGCCAGGTTAGTAAGGAGCTCTGATGGTGTCATGGTTAGAGCATGTGGCTGCTAACCAGAAAAAGTCGGTGGTCCAAACCCACCAAGCTGCTCCTTTGGAAGAAAGATGGGGCAGCCTGCCTTGAAAACCCAATGGGGGTCACTATGACTCAGAATCGACCCAATGGCAGTGAGTTTGGTTTGGTTTGGGTTTGTCAGGTTAATGCTCCTAAACTTTGCTATGATTGTGTTGTGGCTTTGACCAGAAACCTAGTAAATTTGTTATTCCTTCTCATCAGAAACCAAGAGGTTGTGGAATAAGGTTTCTGCAGACTCCTTGTTCTCCATTCAAGGCCCCTGAGGCTAACCACCTGACTTCATCTCCAGCTGGATCTCAGAGATGCACCTCACCTCCTCTTCACCTGGGCGGACAGCTCCCACGGCTGTGGCTCCCCAGGACAGCTCTCTCTACCACCCCTAAGTTTCAGCTCACATATCACTCTTCCATGACTTCTGCCCTGATCAACCAAGCAAATGTGCAGGACAGCTTTGTCCCACTAGTGCGTCATTGCCCTTGACTTAGGCCAGGTCACAGCATCTACATTCTTCCCTCTGTTCTTGTCATTTGTGTACTTATACCCCTCAACCCCCCACTGTAAGTTTCTTGAGGGCAGAGAGAGGGTTTTACAAAGCTTTGTGAAGGCCACAGTGCACAGGTCAGGTCTCTGCAAATAAGGGCCATTTTATCAGTGTGTGAATGAGAAGGCAGGACAATGGGACTACTAACAAGGAGGGATCCTTTATCTTCATCATTAAGGATGCTCCTTTCTACTTCATTGTGTTAGAGACTTCCTAGTGGGGGGTGGGGGGTGATGGGGAGGTTGTATCCTGAAGTCTCAATACAGGTAACAGAATACAGTGTAATAGATTTCAATTACATGCAAGTCCAGGGCAGTAAATAAATGCCTTCTGACAAGGAAATGTGGTATTTGTTTAGCTAGAAGCCGGAGATGAAGCGGTAGTGTGTACGAATGCACCCGAGCTGGCACGTGTCACTTGGGTTGCCGCCTGGTGGCACCTTCATATACAGAATCAAAGCACACTGAAGCGAGGCCAACAGAGAGCCCAGCCAAGGCCAGCCTGGCAGGGAGTCGGGCCGTGCCTGTCAAGCCATGCCTGTGTGCTGCACTCTGGGGAACGCTGCCCTTGGCTCAGAAACAGGCTTGAGAGCCCTGTGGTTACTCTCCTTAGTCTGTAGTTACCACTAGATGTCTCTGTGTGCGCTGCTCTAAATGAAAAGTTTAAATCATGCACGAATTGCAGACATGAAGCTCTCGGGAGTGAACGTACAGAGGCACACGTTTGCTAAGTACATCCCTCTGACGATGTTGAATGTTATTTTTAAATCCTTATTTTCAAAGTTCTTTAAAACCATCTTTGAAGATTCTGGTAAAGGAAAAAGAAGCCCTGGTGGTGCAACAGTTAAGTGCTCAACTGCTAACCAAAAGGTTGACGGTTCGAATCTATCAGCCACTCCACAGGAGAAAAGACTTGGCAGTCTGCTCCCGTAAAGATCACAGCCCAGGAAGCCCTGTGAGGCACTTCCGCTCTGTCACATGGGCTCACTATGGGTGGGAATCAGTTCCACGACCTAAAACCACAACAGTACCCAAGAAAAAAACTCACTACCATTGAGTCAATTCCGAGTCATAGTGACCCCCATTGGGTTTCCAAGGCTGCAGATCTTTACGGAAGCAGACTGACTGCCTCATCTTTTTTTCTGTGGAACAGCTGATAGGTTCAGACCACCGAACTGTTGGTTCACAGCCAAATGCCTTAATCATTACACCAGCAAAACTCTTTACAACAATACTAGCAAAGGAAAAACTGCAAATGGAAATTAGAGTCAAAGATTATACAGAAGAGCTTTTAACTTTAGGAGCTCTGGTAGCATAGTGCCTAAGGCACTTGACTGCTAACCAGAAGGCTGGCAGTTCAAACCCACCAGCCACTCCTCGGAAGGAAGGTTGGGCAATCCTACTTCCGTAGTGAAACTGCCTCGGAAACCCAAGGAGGGGTCGCTATGAGTCGGGGCCGACTCGACGGCACATAACAACAACATACTCATTTTTTTCTGCATAAAAGTGTTATGTCAATCTAATACCTGCGAATCCAGCCACATGGATGTAATTGTATTGTAGAGAACTGTGTCCGTCCCAAAAGAGTTGGAAATGACCAAAGTCTGGCCCCTAATGAGCTCAGTGATTCAGAAAGGGAAGTCAGGCTGCCTGGAAGAAAAGCACCTGAGGATGAAGATGGCTGGTGTGTGACAGGAGGCCGTTGGAAGTGTACGTGTGTGTGCGTGCGCTTCTGCTTTAAGAGATGGGGGAAAAGCCTTAAAATAAAAAAATAAATTGGTATCTGGAAACCTCACGGGCCTCCAGGGCCCAACCATGAGCCCCAGGGACGTTGCTTTCTCCTCCCCAGTAGTTTCTCTACCAACTCTTCCTGGCCTCTTGGGGTCCTTTCCTGTCTAGGCCAGGCTGAGGTGTGGACTGCGGCCTCCCCAGTTCCTCCTGTCCTTTGCCATCAGGGGCATGCACATAGTCCTTTATAGTTTGAGAGGTGCTCCTGTCGCATCCTCGTTCACAAGCCACAGACAGGACAGGCTCTACCACAACAGACACGCAAGAAGCCAGGAAACACACAGCAAAGTTCTTGTAGAAAGAGGCCCTCTGTGCTAGCACTTTTCACAGATGCCGAAAAGCAAGCCCCTCCCTCTTCGGATTTTCCCTTCCCCTAATTGGTTGGGGGGGCGCAGCTCCTTCTGCCCTGAGGAGCATTCCATCCTGGCAGAACAAAAGGTGCAATAGGGGTCATTTGCATCTCTGAAGGCCTGTGCTCCCCAGTTCCCTAGGGCTCCGCCTGGCCCTGGAAGACCGGCTCTGCCCCTCACGTTAGAGTTGATTGTGTTAATAAAGTGTTTTTCACCACACGTGATCACTGAAGCTTTGTTTTGAATAGTGAACTTCCCTCGAGTGTTTAAATGTACTGTAATGTGCACATAATATTTTTGGCATTCATCTTGTGCTTAAAGGGAAGAGCACCTGTATTAGCATTCCTGTCTAAAGATGTGACTCCAAATGAAGATACCAGAGACCTGTGTGTTTCTAAAAGAGAAGTGTTCCCTAAGTGCACCCCTTTTCACTGTCAACAAGATCCTGCTTATACTTGCTCTTTGGCTTCTAGACTTTGTCCTCAGATATTTATAAATAAATACACATGCAGTCATCTTAAAATGTACACACACTGATAGCAATTCAGTCATTATTTAAGTCTGCTCTGTCACAAATTGCTGTAAAGCCCAATCCTTTTCTCTTTTTTTTTCCTGATATAATAAAATGTTACATTTAGAATAGTAGGGTATACTAGTAGTGCTTTAGCATACTGAAAATTTTTTAATAATAAGATACAGATGATTGCTAAAAAAGCCAAAAAGTTATATTACCAAGAAATGGTGTAGTCAGAAGTGATTCTGAGTTCAGAAGGCACTCAAGGGCGCGTGGAACTTGACCATGTGTTGTCTGTCGATGTCCACTCAGTGGATGCTGATACGCACCTCATGGTTTGCAGAGACGTGCTCACTGGTTTCTTAGGATGCCATACCTTTGCTGTCATTGCCAATGGTCTAGCCAGAAATTCTTGGGAACCTCTAGGTTACTGTTGCTGAGTCAGTGTGATGTTTCTGGAACAATGCAAACACTAGAGTCTGAAAGTTAGAAAATCAGCAAAACCACCAACTACTTTAGGGGCCTCAGATAATAAATCACTTAACTTTTTGGGACCTCAGTTTCCTCGTCTGTCAAATGGAATACTGCAGGTGTAATTGAGATCTTTTGCTTGTGTCTTCCAGTGAATGTGTCCGTTTGAAGCCCACAGACATCCAGCCGGACATCTTCAGCTATCTCTTACACCTGATGTACACAGGAAAGATGGCCCCACAGCTTATTGACCCTGTCCGCTTGGAGCAGGGGATCAAGTTCCTGCACGCTTACCCACTCATCCAGGAGGCCAGCCTCGCCAGCCAAGGAGCCTTTTCTCACCCTGACCAAGTGTTTCCATTGGCTTCCTCCTTGTATGGCATCCAGATAGCTGATCATCAGCTAAGACAAGCCACCAAGATTGCCCCCACCCCTGAGAAACTTGGACGAGAGCCAAGGCCCCCCACATCCAGGGTGAGCCAGGAGCAGGTGCCTGAGGCCTCCCAGCTCTCCCAGTTAACTTCCAATCTGACCCAGGTGACTCGGCCGAATATGGCCCCCTCCGACCCGCTGCAGACCTCCCTGTCTCCAGAGCTTGTTTCCACTCCTGTGCCCCCGCCTCCGCCCGGGGAGGAGACCACTATGGAAGCCTCGTCCTCCGACGAGCAGCCGGCAACCCTGACCATAGCCCACGTGAAGCCGAGCATCATGAAGAGGAACGGAAGCTTCCCCAAGTACTACGCTTGCCACCTGTGTGGACGGCGGTTTACGCTGCGCAGCAGTTTGCGAGAACACCTCCAGATCCACACGGGGGTACCTTTCACATCCAGCCAGCCGGGAGAAAGCCGTGTGCCCCTGTCCCTTTGCAGTAATGCAGCCGACCTAGGAAAAGACGCCATGGAAGTGCCTGAAGCAGGGATCATCAGCGACAACGAGCTGCAGCACATCTCGGATTCGCCGCTCATCGACGGGCAGCAGCAGTCGGAAACCCCGCCCCCCTCGGACATCGCGGACATTGACAACCTGGAGCAGGCCGACCAGGAGCGGGAGGTGAAGAGGCGGAAGTACGAGTGCACGATCTGCGGCCGCAAGTTCATCCAGAAGAGCCACTGGAGGGAGCACATGTACATCCACACCGGGAAGCCTTTCAAGTGCAGCACTTGCGACAAGAGCTTCTGCAGGGCCAACCAGGCTGCCCGCCACGTGTGCCTCAACCAGAGCATCGACACGTACACCATGGTGGACAAGCAGACTCTGGAGCTGTGCACGTTCGAGGAGGGCAGCCAGATGGACAACATGTTGGTGCAGACCAACAAGCCGTACAAGTGCAACCTGTGCGACAAAACCTTCTCCACGCCCAACGAGGTGGTCAAACACTCGTGCCAAAACCAGAACTCGGACGTGTTCGCCCTGGACGAGGGGCGGTCCATTCTCCTGGGCAGCGGGGACTCCGAAGTGACGGAGCCCGAGCACCCAGTGTTAGCGTCCATCAAAAAGGAACAGGAAACAGTGTTATTAGACTGAATGTTACTGGTCTTTTTTTAAAAACAAACACAAACTTTTATTTTTACAAGGACTATCTTCCTCTCCCTCCCCCAATTCAGAACTGTGACTATGGTTCTCCATGGCATGGATCGAAGGGTCTCTGCCCTGTCCTCCCCGCCCCTCCCCCCACAGCCCCCTTGGTGAAGGCTTTGTGCATTATCGACCTGACACATACCTACTTTAACACAGGGGATATTGGTAAGATAATGGTCAGGAGTACTGGTAAACACAATTAGATGGACAAACTGTAGATGATTTAAAAGCATACTTGGAACTTAGGAAGGGAATATACCAAAACCCACCAGAATGCAATTTGGTACGCTCAAATTATGACTTTCCCTGGGTAATAAGTCTTCCTTCTCAGAAAAACGATGTCAGAAAGTACAGTGTGCTCTGAGCTCTGCACTATGCAAAATCTACAAGATGTGAGGACCAAGATTTTACGTTCAAGCAAATGTCCTTAGTGTTTATCCTTCAGGTGTTTTATTTCGGAGTGCATCCTTTGAGGTTATGGCAAGAAAAATCATTAGTTATGAAATCTACCTTAACAAAACCCAAGAAAAGGAAATAACAGTAATAATGTGATGGCAATCTTAATCTTGGAATAAAACATGACAAGCTGTGAGTCTGTGTGTGTGTAAGAGAAAATGTGTGGTTACTTGCTCTAAACAGGTGAATCAAGGCACATGCCTTATGTGAATGCTGGCTTTCTTCGATGGTGAACAACAAAATGCCGTGTTTTTGGTTTCTGACAAATTTCTTGTCTGTTTTTAAAATCAGATTTGAAAATACTGTCCTACAGATTGTCCTTCTGAATAGAAAACTATATGCCTCTCTAGCAGTTGCCCACAGTAAACCCGTTAGCACCAGCCAGATGCTTTTAACTCAGCGGGTATACCACAGAGAAAGGATATGGGGGAGGTTGTGAGCTGAGGATGTAGTAGCTTTGATGATGTCAACAGTTAGTGCTAATAGTTTATGGCAACATTCACTGAGGCATCAAAAATGTCAAAGAGAAATCAGGACAAAAAATCTTAATTGCTGTTTGTGAAAAAACTTGAATGTTTATTTTCCACTTTAAAAAAAAAACAAAAAAAAAAACACCTGAAGTTCTCTCCGTTGGTCTGGAAGCAGTAGAAATTGTCCATTAACCTTCCCGTAGGCCAATAACAGAATAGTTGCACGGGACAAAATAGGAGCCAGAAATAAGGACCGAAGGGGAAAGAGGAAGAACCCTAATAGCTCTGATCTGTGTACATGCTGAAAACGGAATATCCCAGCATCCTATCTCATGTATAGTTCAGTTCTCAGATTTGTAAGTTTTTATACATCCTTTCATTGAATAAACATTTAAATGGGTAAAGGAGTTGAGCTCTGCGTTGCTTTGTCTCCCCGGAGGAGTGCTGGGCGGGGATTGGAGGACACTGCGTGAGGGGCGCGCTCTGGCGTTGCATCTCCTCATCCTGGAGACAGAACTCGGGGCCCTTCCCTAACCTGAGTGTCCTTTTCCATTTCGTAAGATGAAGATGTTAGTAACAGCTTCAGGTCCTTAGATTGTGAGAATCAACTAAGAAGCGGTGTAGGAAAATGCTGCGGACAGAAGTCTGAGTGGGAATGGTCTGGAGATTATCTCATCCAACTTCCTTTACAAAGAAGGAAGAGACCAAGAGGCGTTTGCCTAAAGGTGACATAAACTGAAGGCGCTCTGTAAACTAGGTTATTTAATGCTGACCATTTCCATCAATTTTGTCTTAAACAAAACTACATTCAGTTGTAGAGGTTTATGGCAGGTGGTGGTGGTGTTATGTGCCATCGAGTCGGACCCGACTCATAGCGACCCCTCCTTGGGTTTCCGAGGCAGTATCACTACGGAAGTAGATTGCCCAACCTTCCGTAGCATATTAATTTCTTGAATACTGTGAAAGGGCAGATCAGGGGCCACTGCAGCTCCCCGCCCCCCAACACACTCCACAGCCCCTGCAATCTTGAAGAAGAGTCACACTGCAGCCAAAGGACAGGGTCTTGAAGATGAAAAAGTAACAATAACTGCAAGGGGTGATGATGTATGAGGAGAGAGGGGTGAGGGCCACGTGCCAGCCAGTCCCAGCTCAGCTCCTGATCTCAGTGGATGGGAGGGGCAGGCACTGCCTTCACCTTCTAGTTGTGTGGGACACAACCCTGTGCACCAGTTTGTGACAACTTCCTGCCACTGTGGCGGGCCAGTAAATCCCAGCTCCCTCGGAGTGGACATCCCAAAGCCCTCTCATCCCTCTGGGATTAGCGCCAATTCTAACCAAAGACGTTATAAATCACAATTATTCTGAGTCTGTGGTGGCACCAACTCCAGTGAGCTTGGGGAATCCAGTTGCTGGCGCGAGCAATCAGAACCCCTGTCGTTTGAGCTGCCATTCTCCTGAGTCCCCTGTTCACAACACTGGGTCTTTTGCTTTGCCTTTTGTAGGAAAAACGATAAAAGGCGATTCACTCAATTCAATAGATGTTGCTGCAAAGTAAGCTTTTGTAAAGTACTGCAGGATTTTACTTAACAGGAGACATGGTCTTAATAGGAAGAAGGTGTTGCCACTAAAAGGTCACTTTGGATCATGACATAAAAGTGGGGAGGAGAGTGGATCCCGCACCATCTGGTGAGGAAATGGCTGTTGTTGCATTTTGTAATTTCATCTTGCAAGAAAGGGAAGTGTTGAGGCACCCAAATTAAAGCCCTTCAGTTGCAAATTTCAAACTGCATTACTGTTTGAAAAGGTACAGGAACTTAGAAGGATGGCTGGGGGGAGGGGAGGGGATGCAGTAAAACCTGCGACAGCAGAACCTGTGTAAGGTGGAAACCTGTCAGAGAAGAGGAACGTGAATATTTTCCACTGGAACAAGTGATGAAAAGTGCTGAGACCACATCCTGTCAAAGACGGAAAATGCACGAGACTCGGAAAAACAAGGCGGTCACCTGGAATTGCAGCTCTCCCGGAGTTCACTGTACCTTTTACAGTCCTGCTACAATGACGGGGTTGGGGAGCCCTCCACTAATTCACGAGTTTGTTGCAATGGAACATCACTTGTTCTTCCTTCCACGCTTGGATTGTTCATGGCAGTTTTCAGATCCCTCTGAATATTTAAATTATAATTTGCTTTTAGTCCTCTGTGTTAGGTCTAATTTAAAGGATCACTATACCTCATTTACAGGTAAACAAGATTTAGATTTAGAAATTGTTAAGCAAATAAAAAGTCGGTAAGATACAGGTCAACGAGTCTCTCTTTTCTAGCAGTAGCTCCCAAACACAACTCTACGAATATCAACTAAATCAACAGCTCTCTACAGACAAAAATTAGATGGTTAAGAATTTCTGACTATACAAACAGCTGCAAAAAAAGAAAACTTCCAAACTAATGTTCCTAATGAGCCCTCAACTAAAACTAGAAATTTAAATTTGTCACTGAAAATCTTCATTTGAAAAGCCATGCCAATTAACATGAGACCTCTGGGAAATTAGGATGAATTGCTGTCTGTCAGATTTTCATAGGATTCATTTGTAAACTCCAAAGCCAGTCACAGGCCAGTGTTGGGAACTGGACCACGATGAAAAGATACCATGTGGTTTCAAACACTTGAGGCAAATCAACCTATCTGTGAACAGAAAGAAAACAAACTAACAAAACCCACTGCTATCGAGTGGATTTCCACTCACAGTGACCCCATTGGGTTCCTGAGGGGTAAATCTTTACAGAAGTAGATTGCCCTGTCTTCCTTCCATGGAGTGGCTGGTGGGTTTGAACCACCAACCCTCTGGTTAACAGTCAAATGCCTTAGGCATTATGCCACCAGACCTCCTGGTGAACACAAAGAACTGTTACTAAATTTGTGAATCAAGTTCATGCTCTTCTCTGGAAAATGTACGGCCCACCCTGCCTAGATTGGCTGGTGGCTGAGAAGGTCAGCTTCTGTGGAGAATGCTGTCAGGCTGTTGTTGTTAGGTGCAGTCGAGTCATCTCCCACTCATAGCGACACTACGTACAACAGAACGAAACACGGCCTGGTCCCGTGCCAGCCTCCCGATCCTTGCTATACCTGAGCCAATCCTTGCAGCCACTGTGTCAATCCACCTTCTTGAGGGCCTTCCCCCTTTGCATTGACCCTCTACTTTATCAAGCATGATATCTTTCTCCAGATAATAGTCTCTTCTGACAACATGACCAAAGTAGGTGACACAAAGTCTGGCCATTCTTGCTTCCAAGGAGCATTCCGGCTGCACTTCTTCCAGGACAGATCTGTTAGTCCTTTTAGCAGCCCACGGTACGCTCGGTATTCTTTGCCAGCACCACAACTCAAAAGCATCAACTCTTCTTCCATTTTCCTTATTCATTGCCCAACTCTCACACACATATGATGCGATTGAAAATATCATGGTTTGGGTGAGGCACATCTTAAGTCTTCAAGGAGATGTCTTTTGCAACAGATTTGCCCAATGTAATACATCATCTGATGTCTTGACTGCTGCTTCCATTGGTGTTGACTGTAGAACCAAGTAATATGAAATCTTTGACAACTTCAGTCTGTCTTTTCTCCATCTATTGTAATGCTGCTTATTGGTCCACTTGTGAGAATTTTTGTTTTCCTTATATTGAAATGTAATCCGTACTACAGACTGCAGTCTTAAATCAATAAGTGCTTCATCAATAAGTGCTTCAAGTCATCCTCACTTTCAGCAAGCAAAGTTGTGTCATCAGTGTATTGCAGGTTGCTAATGATTCTTCCTCCAATCTTAATGCCACATTCTTCATATAGTCTAGCTTCTCTGATTATTTGCTTAACGAGTAGATAAAGTATGGTGAAAGGATACAAGCCTGATGCACTCCCTTCCTAATTTTAAACCATGCAGTATCCCCTTGTTCTGTTTGAACAACAGCCTCCTGGTCTATGTGCAGGTTCCTTATGAGTCCAATTAAGTATTCTGGAATTCCCATTC